TTATATATCCATTCTATATAAAGTCATTTAATGTAGTCACACTTTCAACGAACACTTAGTTGAGACATTTTAAAGTCACACATCCTGTATATTTGAGTCAAAATCAATTTTATGTTGTTTTCATAGAGTGTTGTGTTGTTTGAGTTACCTTTTATTGTCACACTATCTAGAGTGTTGTATTACTTATTTTGATTCAAAAATATGTTATACATGAAATATTTTCTATGAAAAAACTATACTATGTCATAATGATATTATGGAAAAAAAATGAGTGATTGACCATTAAGCAACACGAATATTATGTAAAAAATGAATCAAAGCATAATTTCGAACCTGATGTCTGATTTGTAGTTCGAACTTGATATCTAATAAGATCAATGGTGTATTAGAGAAAAGAAAAAAATGAAAAATGGTTGGAGAAGAAGAAAACCGATAATGGATGATCATTGGAAAAGAAGAAAGATGATACGTTTTATGTCAAATATAATGAGAATATAATTCAAAATGGGTGATGTTAAAAAGAATAAATGTTATTTTAGCAAAAGATACTATCAATATACTTCATCTATAAATTTAGGAAATATTTAATATAATATAACAATTTCAAAACACAAAATAACTGTCATATTTAATACTGGTTATTGCTTGTGCGTGAAGTNTATTTAATATAATATAACAATTTCAAAACACAAAATAACTGTCATATTTAATACTGGTTATTGCCTGTGCCTGAAGGNAATATAATGAGAATATAATTCAAAATGGGTGATGTTAAAAAGAATAAATGTTATTTTAGCAAAAGATACTATCAATATACTTCATCTATAAATTTAGGAAATATTTAATATAATATAACAATTTCAAAACACAAAATAACTGTCATATTTAATACTGGTTATTGCTTGTGCGTGAAGTCACTATGTTACTTATAAAATTTCAACACACAATGATAAGATGTTTGAATAATTTCAACACATAGCGATTAGATTGGTTTTGAACATTTTTTGTTGATGCAATTGGTATCTTATTTTTTTTGTATTGGTCACCTATTTTTTTTAACTGCTGATTAGCTTGGTCTTTGGATTTTTTATTTTTATTTTTTGAGAACTATAGATTTTCATACAATAGTANTTATTTTTTTTGTATTGGTCACCTATTTTTTTTAACTGCTGATTAGCTTGGTCTTTGAATTTTTTTATTTTTATTTTTTGAGAACTATAGGTTTTCATACAATAGTGATTTATTTTTGGTATAAATAATAAATTGATGATTTTATTTATGGATTATAAAGACAATTTAAACTTTATTAATTGATAAGAAATAAGAAGTAAACATCAACCATCAATACTAAGATGCATGATTAGAAGATCTACTTACAGTCTACTCTAGATATGAATCAGTTTGTAATAAGAAGGATGAAAAATTATATAGTAAGTATATAATGGTTTTTAATGAAATATGATATCAAAGGTCTTGAAAAAATCGATATATCNATAGTAAGTATATAATGGTTTTTAATGAAATATGATATCAAAGGTCTTGAAAAAATCAATATATCAAATAACTTACATGTCCAAAAATGGTGATATTGTCTATTTGAGTACTAATTTTTGTGTTGTAATGATAATGTGTATGAGGTTATTAGGGTCAAACGTAAACTGACAAACTTTGAAAAAAGAAACACTAAACTTAGAAATATTATGTATTTTATGTGTGTTTAATAGAAATATTTTTAAATTTATGCAAAGTTTTATCGTAAAATTAGAAATTAAACAAAACTAACATAAATCAAGGTACAAACAATATACTTTTAACATATAACATTTAAAAACAATCAGTTAATGACAATATATTTAGAACTAAACCGCACGGNATCAAGGTACAAACAATATACTTTTAACATATAACATTTAAAAACAATCAGTTAATGGCAATATATTTACAACTAAACCACACGAACATTAAAAATTAAAAACAATAAACTATTGTCAAAGCATACACTACTAAACCAACATGAAAAAATCATCAATATTCATAAACACGCATAAATGTTAAACATTTGCTAACTGCACGTTACAAAAATTAAACATAAAATATTTGATAATTACTCAGTTATAAAAATTTAACAAAAAAAATAATCAACATGAAATAATGAGATGGTTTGCCATTAACAAAATTTATAATAGATACTCTTTTAACTAATCATTTATGACAATCAACAATATGTTTTGTTCACTTTCAATAAAAATTAAATTTTTGAAAACTATAATTTTCATTTAATTCTGAGTAAAGTGGTGATTAGGTATGAATAATAGTTCGAAGGTTTTACTTATGAATTGGATATTTGTATTTTTTATTTGTGTGAAAATGGTGATAATGATTAAATTAGTTTTGAATTTTATTTTGTGCAATTGGTAATACTTGCTATTTTTTGTTGGTCACTTATTTTTTTTTATTAGTGATTAGATTGGACTTTGTTTTTTTTTCCTTTTTTGAGAACTACATNTGATTAAATTAGTTTTGAATTTTATTTTGTGCAATTGGTAATACTTGCTATTTTTTGTTGGTCACTTATTTTTTTTTATTGGTGATTAGATTGGACTTTGTTTTTTTTTTTTTTTCCATTTTTGAGAACTACATGTTTTCATATAGTAGTGATTTATTTTTGGTATGAATAATAACTTTATGATTTTATTTATGGATTGTATATTTATACTTTTTATTTACGTGGAAATGGTAATGACGATTATATTGGTTTTGAATCTAGTCACTTTATTATGTGTGTGTATATATATATATATAAAGAGAGAGAGAAAGAGAGGAGATGAGATGAGATAGAGAGAGTTATATAAGAGATAGGAGTGTTAGAGTTAAGTCTAATTATGATCATCGGATCAATATTTATGAAATGATCTGAACCATCTTTTATGTTGAGATTACGTTGTCTGTTGGATGTGTTTATATTTTGTCTCAAAATGATCTGGATCTCTTTTTATTTTTGGATTCAAACTCAGCTCTACTTTATTATATATAACTAGTTATTACCCGTGTCTGAAAGCATTATATAACAAATAAAATTTTTTTACACAATTATCCAAATTAAAAAAAAATGACCTAAAAATATTCATATAAACTCTTCTTTTAAAATGACTTGAAATATATCGCCGATCATATTCTTCATATTAATAGAACTATCGTAAAAATATATAAAACTCTTCAAAACAACACTATATATACAAATGTCTCCGAAAAAATAAAAAACAAATGCTAACATAATCCATTGAAATTTACCATATTTAAGTAATAAATAAAATTTTGCTTATTTATAAGACTCATGAATTTTTCACTTTTACCACCACTCAATCCAATAACAGAATATAATTATAAACACAATCATCATATTTTCAATCTACCCTATCCCTATTTAATAAATATCTCAAGTAAAAAAAATAAAATATATTAACATAACGCAATTAAATTCACAATCTTTAACCGATAAATAAAATCAATCAAATCTTACTCATTTATAAAACTCATAAATTTATCACCACTATCACCATTCAACCCCAAATGGCACAATAAAATTAAAAATTTAATTACCAAATTTTCAATCTTCCACATATAAATATACACAGAAACATACTCACACATTTATTTTTTGCCTACCAACAAACTTTCCTAACCAATAACTATTTTTATTAAAAATATAATAATTCAACTTTTTATGATAAAATAAAAATAAATTAATATCTAATAATAAAATAGGGTAAAAAAATACGGATTTCCCCTGAGTTTTGACAATATTATACAGACACCCCCTGATATTTTATAAATAACACGAAGATCCCTGGAGTTTAAAATTTATTACATAGAGACCCCATCTATCTCTCTTCCTTCAATATTAATATTATTATTATCTCCCTTCCTCCAAATTTAAATTTCAATTTTTGATAAAAATATATATTAATTTACAATTTAAGGTTCATTTTGTGTTGAATATTATTTGTTGTTGATTAAACCAACATAAAATTGACCTTAAATTATAAATTTTTTGTTGTATATAAACTTAAAAATTTGTATTTTAACCTATAAAATTTAAATACATATTTTTTCATACCATAGCGTATTCTCTCACTATATCATTTGATAAATTTTTTTTTGATCATACTTAAACCAAACCAATTGTTCACCCCCATTTTTTTTAAAAGAATTATTCACCTCCACTTGTTAAACTCAAAAATCTCTGGTTCACATGAAAATAAGTGAAAATAAATTTAAAAGTTGACAAAAAATTTTAAAAAATTGATAGTTTGAAAAAATTTAAAAAAATTAGTACCAAAATTATAACAAATAGAGCAAACATTAAAAAAACTAAAAAAATAATCTATATAAAATCATTATCAATGAAAAATTTAGAATAATTTAGGCTCTGAATCAATTAAGACCTAATTTTAGGAAAAAATGTGAAATTCAGATGAAAAAAGTCCTCAAATCGTGAAAAATGTGTGCTATTTTTTATTTACATTAAGTGTTATTTATAAATTAAGAAATAAGTGACAAAATATAGCAATTATCATTGTAGAACACGTGAGTAGGGAGGCAGTTATTTCTGTTTTAGAGAGAGCTTCTCTCTAGAAAACTTCTTCTGCAAGCCTTCGATTCTACTCCATTTTCCTTGGATTTCTCACTAAATTTTGCAATGTTTACTGGATTATTGTTGTCTTAACATGAATTCAGATCAAAATCAGAAACAAATCCCACCCAAACCTCCGTATATTACTCGTAATTTTGCCTCCTTGTTCAAGAAAACTTCTACTTCTGTGAACACGGGTTCTTGATCTGTTAATGGCTTGGGTTCTTCTGTGAATCTCTCTGGTGGTAAGGAATTGTGTGTGATGCCTCCTTCTACCCCTTTGATTGCTCAAACATCGTTGGTGCTTGAAATTCCTTCGATTACTCAGTTTCCTTCTTTGGTTTGAATCCCATCGATTGGTCACTCAATGAATACTCATACTACTTTTGTTGGTCAAATTCCTTTGTCTCGTGGTGAGAAAGTATGTGAATCTGATGTATCCAGATTGCAGAGTGTTCTTGGATCTGAGATGATGCGATGCCTCTGCGAAGGCTTGGCCTGCTGTATCGAATGTTTTGAAGGCTGTGAAGAAAGTTGTATATAATAACGGTGAACCTGGCATATATTGGACATCTGAAGAGACTCAGGAGCTTTTGTCCAAATTCTAGCAAACTCTGATTGGGAAATGCGCATATAGTAAGCCATCTCTGGGCGTAATTCGTGAGTTTATCATTACCAGATGGAAACCTAAAGGTGATTTTCATGTTGGAATCCTAGATCCAAGACACATCTTAATTCATTTTGAATTGTATGAGGATTATGTTCATATGTGGCTTAAGGACGCTACCTATATAGAAGGTTTTCTGTTTAGGTTCTCAAGTGGTTCCGGAGTTTCTTCCTGGTATTGAGCCACCAGTTGTACCAATGTGGTTTCCTTACCAGTTCTCCCTATTCATTTGTTTAATGTGGATAGTTTGAGGGATATCTTAAGCCCTGTTGGTCACATTTTGGTTATTGATAAGTCTACTTTGAATTTAACTCACCCTGGTTTAGTGAGAGCTTGTGTTGAGGTTAATCTGCTGGCTAATAACCCAAGAAGGTTATGGTTAGACATGGGGGGTTTGAGTGGTCGATGGCAGAAGATTGTGTATGAGAAAAGTGTTTTTTACTGTTCTAACTGCTTGAAACAGGGACATGATTCTGTGATTTGCCGGAAGAAGAAGCATGAAGGAGGTGATGGTATCTTGCTTCAGAGTGAAGGTAAGAGACATGATAAGGGGATTTATGAGGTGGAGAATAGGGATACTGGGAGGGATGAGATGATTGAGGTTCATAGAAACAAAGGTAAAATGCCTCTTAGATAGAGGACCGTTGTTCAAGAGGTAGAGGTGGAGAATAGATTTGAGGTGTTGGAGGAATAGCAAGATAGAGTCCCAGTTGTGAATATTGAGTTGAGAGAATCTTCTAATGGGAATGTGAATGGGGAAAGTGAACTAGAAGCACAAAAGAGGAATGGAACTGAAAGTGTAGGTGTTTTGCCAGATGAGGTGGCTGGTATTGATGAGGTAGTGCCTATTTTGATGGATGGTATCAGAAATTGTGTTACTGAAGTGGTGTTTAATGAGATTCTTATCAGTGGAGATCCTTTAGTCGAGCAAGAAAGGGAAGTGCAAGGGGAGGCTACGGGGAATCTTTTGGTTACTGCTGTGGATCATGGAAATTTGAATATCTGTAATGTTACTAGGCATTTTTCACCCTCAAATGATAGTTCTTTTTATGTTGAACATCATTATGTTACTAGGAGGGGTTTGAATGTGTCTGTAGATGATGATATTGGTTTAGAAAGAAGAAATGATCCACTAGATAAAGGTTATATATCTGATGGTGGTGGTGTTGAGATTGAAAGACCTAGAAATCTCACTTTGGAATTGGAGGAGGATGATTCTGATTTTAATGCTCTGAATGAGGTTTCTAGTGAAGTTTCTATTAGACTAAAGTCCAGGAATGGAGCTCTCTCTCTTATTCATGATTAATTACTTATCTTGGAATATGAGGGGAGCTAGGAAAGCTGAGCAGAGAAATAGGATTAAGAAGCAGGTGAGAATGAATAATGTGTGTATGGTCTCTATTCAGGAGCCCAAGATGAGGAAGAATAAGCTTCATGGACTGGCTATGTCCATTGGTTTAACTCATTATGCTTGTAATCCTTTGGCTGAAAGTTATTTGTGGGTTTTGTGGGATGATAGGGTGCAAGTTAATATAGTAGTTCAGCATGAGCAAGCTCTGACTGTTGAGGCTTCCTATTTGGGATCTGAGATGATGTATATAACCATGGTTTATGCTTGTTGTGACCATGTGTTGAGGAGGCCACTGTGGGAACACCTTTTGGAACTTGATATAGCTTTGTCTTCTACTTGGATGGTAGGAGGAGACCTCAATGCTATTTTATGTTCTGATGAGAGGTTGGGGGGTGCATATCCTTCAACTTTAGCAATGGAGGAGTTTGGGGCTTTTGTGCATGATGCTGGATTGCAGGATATGGGATACACTGGGAGCAGATTTACATGGTGCAACAATCATCATGGATAAACTAGGATGTGGCAGAGGATTGACAGACTTTTGTTTAGCTCCAATTGGTGTAGTAAGTTTGGTAGTATTGAGATATTGCATTTAGCAAGGGGAGGTTCTGATCACTGTCCTATTCTGCTTAAGGTAATGGACTCCTTTTCTTGTAGAGTCTCTTATTTTAAATTTCAGGATTTGTGGGTGGAGGATCCTGGTTTTAAGCCACTGGTTGTGTCAAAAATGGACTGGAGAATATTCAAAAAATCCAATTGAGAATTTTTTTCTGAAACTAAAGTATTTGAAGGTTCATCTTAAGAGGTGGAACAAGGAGATTTTTGGCAATAGTTTTGAAAGGATTAGGAGGAAGGAAGAGGAGGTTATGAAGGCAGAAATATTGCTTGAGGAAAATAATTCTGAAAGTAATTTTCTGTCCATGAAGAAAGTGCAAAAGGAATTGAATGAAATTTTGAAATTGGGGGAAGTGTATTGGAGGCAAAAGGCCAACATCAGATGGGTTGTGGATGGTGAAAGGAATTCAAAATTTTATCAGCAAGCAGTCAGAAATAAGGTCTCTAAGATTCAGAATGAATCTAGTGATTGGGTACATTATGATTTGGAGATTGCTGATGTGGCTGTAAGCTTTTACTCCTCTTTGTATAAGTCTGAAAATCATGTGTTGCAGAATAGTTTATTTTCTAAGATTCCTTTGTTGGTGGATGAGGAGATGAATAGCAAACTGATTGCTGAGGCTTCTGAGGAGGAGGTAAATAGTGTGGTTTTTTCCATGTATGTACATAGCTCACCTGGGGTAGATGGTTTTTCTGGGAAGTTTTTCCAGGTGGCCTGGGAGGTTATTAAACTTGATTTGGTGAGAGCAGTGAACTTTTTCTTGAAAGGTGGTAAGGTTCCAAGGTCTGCTAATGCCACATTGCTTGTGCTAATTCATAAAAAGCCTAATCCTGTGTCTTTCTCAGACTTTAGGCCTATTAGCTTGTGTAATTTTTTGTATAAAGTGCTTACTAAAATCTTGGCTTCCAGGCTTGCTCCTATTTTACCAGTGGTAGTTTCCAATGAGCAGCATGGCTTTGTGAAGGGTAGAAGTGGGAGTGATTGTGTTGCTTTGGCTCAATTAATGGTGGAGAACTTGGATAGAAAGGTGGAGGCTGGTAATATGCTCTTAAAACCTGATATGATGAAANGACAAAATATAGCAATTATCATTGTAGAACACGTGAGTAGGGAGGCAGTTATTTCTGTTTTAGAGAGAGCTTCTCTCTAGAAAACTTCTCCTGCAAGCCTTCGATTCTACTCCATTTTCCTTGGATTTCTCACTAAATTTTGCAATGTTTACTGGATTATTGTTGTCTTAACATGAATTCAGATCAAAATCAGAAACAAATCCCACCCAAACCTCCGTATATTACTCGTAATTTTGCCTCCTTGTTCAAGAAAACTTCTACTTCTGTGAACACTGGTTCTTGATCTGTTAATGGCTTGGGTTCTTCTGTGAATCTCTCTGGTGGTAAGGAATTGTGTGTGATGCCTCCTTCTATCCCTTTGATTGCTCAAACATCGTTGGTGCTCGAAATTCCTTCGATTACTCAGTTTCCTTGTTTGGTTTGAATCCCATCGATTGGTCACTCAATGAATACTCATACTACTTTTGTTGGTCAAATTCCTTTGTCTCGTGGTGAGAAAGTATGTGAATCTGATGTATCCAGATTGCAGAGTGTTCTTGGATCTGAGATGAATGCGATGCTTCTGCGAAGGCTTGGCCTGCTGTATCGAATGTTTTGAAGGCTGTGAAGAAAGTTGTATATAATAACGGTGAACCTGGCATATATTGGACATCTGAAGAGACTCAGGAGCTTTTGTCCAAATTCTAGCAAACTCTGATTGGGAAATGCGCATATAGTAAGCCATCTCTGGGCGTAATTCGTGAGTTTATCATTACCAGATGGAAACCTAAAGGTGATTTTCATGTTGGAATCCTAGATCCAAGACACATCTTAATTCATTTTGAATTGTATGAGGATTATGTTCATATGTGGCTTAAGGACGCTACCTATATAGAAGGTTTTCTGTTTAGGTTCTTCAAGTGGTTCCCGGAGTTTCTTCCTGGTATTGAGCCACCAGTTGTACCAATGTGGTTTCCTGACCAGTTCTCCCTATTCATTTGTTTAATGTGGATAGTTTGAGGGATATCTTAAGCCCTGTTGGTCACATTTTGGTTATTGATAAGTCTACTTTGAATTTAACTCACCCTGGTTTAGTGAGAGCTTGTGTTGAGGTTAATCTGCTGGCTAATAACCCAAGAAGGTTATGGTTAGACATGGGGGGTTTGAGTGGTCGATGGCAGAAGATTGTGTATGAGAAAAGTGTTTTTTATTGTTCTAACTGCTTGAAACAGGGACATGATTCTGTGATTTGCCGGAAGAAGAAGCATGAAGGAGGTGATGGTATCTTGCTTCAGAGTGAAGGTAAGAGACATGATAAGGGGATTTATGAGGTGGAGAATAGGGATACTGGGAGGGATGAGATGATTGAGGTTCATAGAAACAAAGGTAAAATGCCTCTTAGATAGAGGACCGTTGTTCAAGAGGTAGAGGTGGAGAATAGATTTGAGGTGTTGGAGGAATAGCAAGATAGAGTCCCAGTTGTGAATATTGAGTTGAGAGAATCTTCTAATGGGAATGTTGTTGTGATCGTGCAGCAATTATGGTGAATAGTAAGGAATCAAACAATTAAGAAAGCAGGAGAAAATAACACACAGAGATTTACGTGGTTCGGCAATGTGCCTACATCCACGAGAGCGAGCGGCTGTTCTTTTCCATTATTGAATAGGGTTACATCTTAAGTATTTATATAACCCTAATATGGACGTATTTACAAAAATATCCCTGTACCGTACCGCGGGGGCGTTGCCCCCGCACCCCCAACTAATCAGCATCCCCTATATATAAATCCCGCAAGGCAGATGCCGTCACGGACTNTGAGTGGGACTTCTTGCTGAGAACTCTTTCTTGTTTGGGGTTTTCTGAGATGTTTGTGAAGATTATTCATAACTGTTTGGATAGCCAGCATGTCTCTATTTGTGTAAATGGGCAAAGGTTTGGTTTTTTTCCTGCTTCTAGATGCCTTAGGCAAGGGGTTCCAATTTCTCCTTGTCTGTTTATTCTTGCTGAGTAGAGGTTTGAAGAAAAATTATTTGGAGGGCTTAGTAAAGGGGTATCATTTGGGGAGAAGGACAACCTTAGTGTCTCATTTGCTTTTTGCTGATGACACTTTGGTTTTTCTCAGGGGATGTAAAAGGTCTCTGGTGAACTTGATGAAGTTTCTGGGTGAGTATGAACAATCTGCTGGTCAGAAAGTGAGTGTGCAGAAAAGTTCTATGTTCTGCTCAAAGTGGATATCCTGTAGTAGAAGACAGGAGCTTTCTGGTATTGTTGGAATTCCACTTAAGCAGTGTCCTTTTACTTACCTTGCTTTGAAGGAGTTGTTCATAAGTTCAGAAGTAGACTGGAGGGATGGTATGCTAAGATGCTGTCCAACATGGGCAGGGTCTTGATGGTGCAGACTGTTTTGAGTGTTGTGCCCATTCATTTATTGGCTTGTTTGAATATGCCAAAGGGTGTTATTGGCAAGTTAAATTCTATAATGGCAGGGTTCATATGGTCTAGTAGACTGGATGTTAGGAAAAGGCATTCGGTGGCTTGGAGTAAGGTCACTTTACCAAAACTTGAGGGAGGTTTGGGGGTGAGGAAATTTGAGGAACTACAAGCTGCTTTTAGAGTAAAACAAGCTTGGGGTCTTCTGAAAGGTACATCATTATGGTCTCAGGTTTTCTCTACTAAATTCCTTAAAGGTAATCATTTGTTGAGGAGTGTGATTGGGGGTAAATCTAAATGTTTTAAGGCTTTGGTTCCTTTTTTTGAACATGTGGTTATGCAGTCTAAAATGTTGGCTGGTAAAGGTGATCAAGTTGACTTTTGGTGTGATCATTGGTTGCAAGGGGGACCTCTGATATGTAGAATGGAGGTGAGGCCTTCTTTTTTTCCCAAAGTATCTGAGGTGTTTGTAGGATCTCAATGGCAGTTGGAACAAGTGAATGACTTTTTGACTGAGCAGTTGAGATCAAAGATTTTGGGATGCAGTTTAACTTTGTCTGATAGTGCTGATAAGCTTGTATGGAGACATTCTGTGTCTGGTGATTTTGTTTTGAAAGATGCATGGAATATGGTAAGGGTTCCAGGTATGGAGAATGAGGTTGCTAAAGTTTTTTGGAGGATGAACACTGCACCTAGTGCTAAACTAGTGAGTTGGAAGTTATTAATGAAGGCTTTACCTATGGATTCCAAAGTCAAGTTATGTGGGATTCATTTGGTGAGTAGATGTGTGTGTAATGTGCTATGAGGGAGAGGAGTGTGCAGTACACTTATTTGTGGAGTGCAAGTATGCAAAAGCTCTTTGGAGCAGGTTTGCAAGTTTGGGGGGTTTCCAGTTGATTAATGAGGAATTACCTCTGGTTAGAATGCAGAGGTTGTGCAGAGTATTCAAGAGGGAATCTATTTGTTGCAGCTTGTTGAGAAGTCTTTCCTTACTGATTTTCTGGCCAATATGGATAGAAAGGTGTAGGAGGAGAGACGAGGAAGGACAGATTAATTCTTATTCTGTCTTTCTGAAAATTTGCAGCTTTCTGAGGTTGCATGTCAGATTGATTAAACCTAAGGTGTTGGATAATGAAAGTGCGAAAATGATGTTGAATTCCTTAGGAATTATTGTATCACCAAAGCTATATGAGTTTGTTGGTCCTGTCCAGGGTCTGGGGTGCTCAAGCTTAATGTTGATGGTGCTGCAAAGGGGAATCCTGGTGCAGCTGGAGGTGGAGCAATTCTCAGGAATGAGTGGGGAGGATTGGTCTGTGTAGCGTTATTCTGGTATGGCATGGAGACTAATATGAGAGATGAATTTAAAGCTCTGTTGGATGGTTTTTGTATGATTGATAGGTATGGTTTGCTTGGAGAGAGAATTTGCATTGAGTCAGACTCATTGGTGCTGTTCAAGACTGTTAAGGGTATGATGGATTGTGCCTGGCCTTTGCTAGGTTTTCTGGATCAGATTAAGGCCTTTTTGAATAGAATGCAGTTTACTTTGGGGCATATATACAGAGAAGCCAACTCTGTTGCTGATGCCTTGGCAAATACTGCTGTTTATAAGGGTTACTCTTCTGAGTTTGTCAACAGTGTTTGATTCTAGATCAGAGGAGTCTTCCTGTTCAACGCAGGAAGAGCTGTATGATTTTTGATGATAAGGGTTGAGTTGGATTGTAAAACAGCTGATGCTGTGCTGTTATTGAGGTGATGGTATGCGATTTTTAAGCTGTCTTAACTGAGGATCCTGACTACTGATTTGGAGTTGATTTGCAAGGAGCTGATTGCTGGTTGGTCCAAGCAATGGTTTTGCTTCTATTTACCAGTTGAGCTGTTGGTGGGCAGTGCAACTGGTTTTTCAGCTGTTGCAGTAGGCGTACAGGTGGCAGTTCAAGGTTTTTGTTCTATTTTTCTGTAACTGCTTCTTTAACTGAATTTCTGTTACAAAACAGAAAATATGTTTGTAACAGTTTTTTTGTTTTCAGTTTTGTAAACACAGTTACTGTTTTTTCTTAAAACAGTTTATGTTTTGATTCTTGTAATTTTGAGGTTTAATCAATAAAATTCTCTTTCTTTTAAAAAAAAACATGTAGTTTCATATGTTTTATGAAGTAAATAATAAAAAAAATAACACGTGAAAAACAGAAAAAATAAGATAATAATATAAGAGAGAGAGAGAGAGAGAGAGAGAGAATAAGACAGATATAAAGAGAGTTAGATGAGCGATAGGAGTCTTAGAAAAATTTGGCATGAGAACCGTCATATCAAATAATCGTTAAGCGATTTGAGCCGCGAAAAGTTAAACACAAAGAAATCTAACTACTTTATTATATAGATGTATAATTTAAGGAAAAGGCAAATACGTCAAAAAAAATCTAAAAAACTCAAATGTGTACTTGGACACAATAAAATTAAGAAAATGTGAACTAAATTGTTTAACAATATGAACTATGTATTTTAAGGCCAATAAATATTATTTAGTGTACCCTTTAACAATTCTCCANGTACAGGTGGCAGTTCAAGGTTTTTGTTCTATTTTTCTGTAACTGCTTCTTTAACTGAATTTCTGTTACAAAACAGAAAATATGTTTGTAACAGTTTTTTTTGTTTTCAGTTTTGTAACACAGTTACTGTTTTTTCTTAAAACAGTTTATGTTTTGATTCTTGTAATTTTGAGGTTTAATCAATAAAATTCTCTTTCTTTTAAAAAAAAACATGTAGTTTCATATGTTTTATGGAGTAAATAATAAAAAAAATAACACTTGAAAAACAGAAAAAATAAGATAATAATATAAGAGAGAGAGAGAGAGAGAGAGAGAGAGAGTATAAGACAGATATAAAGAGAGTTAGACGAGCGATAGGAGTCTTAGAAAAATTTGGCATGAGAACCGTCATATCAAATAATCGTCAAGCGATCTGAGCCGCGAAAAGTTAAACACAAAGAAATCTAACTACTTTATTATATAGATGTATAATTTAAGGAAACGGCAAATACGTCAAAAAAAATCTAAAAAACTCAAATGTGTACTTGGACACAATAAAATTAAGAAAATGTGAACTAAATTATTTAACAATATGAACTATGTATTTTAAGGCCAATAAATATTATTTAGTGTACCCTTTAACAATTCTCCATTGATATTAGTGTGTTTATGCTTGAATTTTTGGGCTGCCCATGACTTTCTATTCAATCTCTTTACCATGCACATTATTCTTGTGAGAATGGGTCAAGTAATTACCATACACCCATTTAAATTAGTAAATAGCTATTCCTTAATGCATGATGATATAGAATTTGTAATGAAGGTGGTGATATTATGATTTATCGGTTATGATAATACAAATTCAAGATTACCAGAAAATTTACTTGGTGGAGATACTCCACGAGGTTTAATTTCTTAATTAGAATTAGAGCCTATTTTGGGTGAATCTGAATTGGATTTTAGCCTTTAGGACACTACATTCTGAATTTGAGTCTCAAAAGAGACATATTAATTGAACTGATTAGTATGATTTGTGAGTGATTACATACATTCCAAATTTATGAATAAAAAAAACTCAGTTAAAAAAAAAAATTCAGTCCTTAAAAAATCTGCCCACACATTCTCAAAGTGAAAACTGAAAAGTGCTTTATGGTGGAGTATTGTGCATGTCAAAACAAATCTCATCCAGGGTCTCGAATTTATAGAATAACAAGTAGATATTTCTACTGCAAAACAGTATGAGGGTTCTTTAATTAAGTGGAGGTAATAACAGTCGTAGCCTATCCCATGTCAACCTGCCAACTTTATTCCCCACTGGAATGTATGAAGGTTGAGAAAAAACTGAAGAGTTAAATATTCGAAACACTCAACTAATTACGCTACCAAAAGTTATGATTCAATCGAGTCACATTACGATTTTATGGGGTCGACTAGAATCGAATCTAGCATTT